TGGGGTACCCGCGGAATTGTTTGGCGCATTCGTTGACATCAATGTTACACATCAAAATGCATCAAGCCTGCATGATAAACTGACATGTGTCCTACCTTGCGCCGTTTCTTATAACTCCGGCTGCACGTTTCCCCAGTGCATCAAGTGTATCAGTCAGGCATCAGGCCAACAAGTGAATCGCAGTTGGAGACACCAACGCGGAAAGTACACTTTTATCTCAACCGTTCCCCTTCCCCTGCACAGCAAGGGTTTGGAAGACTACCATCATCTCAAAATGGCCCTTGTCCACTTCCATGCTCGTAACATTTATTGTTGGACCTTTTTTTAGGGCTTCACTGGGCTGGTGTCCACTTTAACCCGCCACTGAACCGGGGTGATACTGTGGATGGACGAAATCCTCTTAGGCACCACCTAAGAAACCCTGTTTCTAATGATTCCCCTGTAAATACCAACAAACAAATGGTTTCCCATGTTGTCCAAGTGGCGCGAAATGGATTTCGCAACCATCCAAGCGACCGAAACTGAAACCCGCCACTGAACCGGGGGGGGGGGGGGTGGCCAGTACTCGCCATGGGTTTTGCTCAGATCTCGGAGCGGAGCTGCCTGGAGCTGTCGGAAGCCTCAGCTTGAGGCAGAGATGCCAGGCCGGCAGAAATGTTTCTTGATTTTTCCCGGAGTTTGGGGTCAAATCCTGACATGGTTCTGGGTAATGACCCCATTCTTTACATGGTTCTGGGCTCACCATTTGTGGCTCAAATGATGTTCTACAGGTTTCTTGATTTTCCTGGAGTCTGAGGCAAGCGATTAAACCCTGACATTTGGCCGTGGTGGTCAAAACCAATGGGATACCATTTTGAATGGTAGGTGAATTCACCACCCATGTTAGAACCTATTTTAGCGGGGATTGGGATGTTCACTAGGGGTACGATTTGGATTTTGACCCATGGCCAACTGGATTTCTCTTTTTTAGGACCCTCCAAAATGGCTCAACTTGTTTCCCTTTTTGGCTTCCCTAAACCAAACAAGAAAGGGGATACCTGACGAAAAACCGAGGCCAAAATCAACTTGTTCTAGTGGAGAGTGGCACTTCTTTGCCTATTTGTTTGCTGGGCTCCCCTCTGAATAATGGTCAGCCCAACATTGGCTCCCTGTTTCTACCGGGGTCACTTGGGCAACTGGGCACTACAATGCAACTCGCCGACTTTTCCAGCAAGGTTCTCGGAGCCCCGAGATCCGGACATGTTCGAAGATCCCCAGTGGCTGGCTTTGGAGCCAGTCCGTGTATAGATGTTACCCTCACTCCCACCTTAAGGAAGCTGACAGAAATGCCGACACATGCATGCTTTTCCCAAAGCCAGTCTTTCAAACGAGGTTTGGTTCGTGAATCCAAAGCGACAAAAAACAGACAGGAGGAGCGCAGGGATGTTGATGCACAGGGCATTTTTGGTTTGGACATGCGCAGCTGCTTGTGGTCCACCATCCGGACCAACTTTCGAAAGTCGAGGCTGGGAGGTCAATTCAAGTTCTCTTTGGGGCTGGAGCCGGAGCGACTTGCAGGGACCCGTTGGAGTACCAGCTTGGTAGATTTTTCTGTAGCGCGTCCCAGCATGGCGTTCCATTGAGGATTGTCTCTGAGGGGTTCCTGCACCCCTCCGTTAGTTTCCCTTTCAAAGACACCCCGACACCAAAGAGCCACCCTCAAAACGATGCAATTTGTATGAACAGGGCTGCAGACACCTCGTTCGATTTGCGAGGAATGTCACAGAGAAAGCTGGGAAGCAGAGGCTCGCAGCCGGCAGTAACTAAACAAGGGGCTTCCCTGAAAGGAGTGTTGGGCACCTTTTATTTCCAAGGGTCAAGCTTCCTTACGGCTGACCTGTAATTTCTCAAACTATTCGGGGGTCAGATGGGCCTTTCCCAAGTTTAATACTGGCTTGGCTTAGTAGTGATTAGTGCTGCTTTGGTATTGGTTTAGTATTGCTTTGCGCTGCACTGGCTTAGAGTTGTTTAGTATTGGCTCAGTATTGCTTCGTGCTTGCCCAGTTTAGTACTTACTGGTTTAGTGTCGTTTTAGTGTTGGTTTGTATTTGTTGAGTATTATATCGGCTTAGTATTGCTTTGGTTGTCGGTCCTCTTAGGTACTCTTCGGCCCTCTCTGCCTAGTACTGGTTTTGATTTGTTGGTATTGTTCCCTTGAGCTGGCCTAGTACTGTTTAGAATTTGTTTGGTATTGGCTTAGATTGGTTTAGTACTGGTTCAGGGGTGTTTTGGCTGCACAATTGCCCTTGGAAATTTGTTGGCTGAGCACCTTACATGAAGGGGAAGGAAGGAACTCAGCGGTTTGGGTTGCAGAGATATTTTGACTTTCTCAGTGCTCAGAAGAAAGAATCAATCCATTCTTCGTAATAAAGAAGGGCCCCCTTACAAGTAAAACCTTTTTTTTTGTTTACCACATTTGCTTTCCACGGATCAAGCAGCATACAGAAAGCAGTTTTCAAGTAATGGATTTAATTGGTTCAACTCCTCTTTGTTCTGTTCCTACTGGGTCGAGTACTTGGGCAAGCAGACACGCAGGCAGCAGCGCAAAACAAAGGCAACGGAGTCAAGTTTGCCGGGTCCTTTCCTGTTCGAAAGCCCAAACAAAAATCAATCACTCAAATAGAAGTTAGCCGGCTTCGAGGTCTGTTCTCTGAAAGGAAAGGATTGGGGTGCTCGAGCTGTGCTACAGCTCAAACTGTAAAAATAAGCATTTTGTTTCCACGAAAGCATGTTTTTAACTAGGGTGGTCGCGTTGAATATTAGGGGGAACCCCTGTTCAGTTTTGGGGTAGGTAATAGTTGTGGAACTTTGTATTTGGTACCCTTTGATTGATCGGGTACCGACATTACAAGACTCATTTGCAGCTGCAATCCAGACTGACTTGTCGGACTACATTTGGTTCAATCACGTTTTTCCGGCATGGGTGAACATGGCCCAGCTTAACGAACATTGAATGCACGCAACGTGGTAACCTCAGAATTTCCATGGAACACTGGAGAAGTCATATTCAGATTCACTGTTCTCCCAACGGAGTTGTTAATTTCACCTCAGGCTACTGCCTTTCTAGTCCAGCCCCATCTCCGAGTTGAGTCTTTCAAGGCATGTATCTTCACCCTCCTGCGTTCACCCCAATGTCAGCATCAGCACTGGAAGGCTAGGCTTGCCAGTCTGACAACAGACAAGAACGTAGCCTTGGTGGCTCCCAGCCATCCGGTTTCTTAGCTTCTTAGCCTTTTAGTGTTTAGTAGTAGTTTCCATTTAACCCACTAAAAGTTAGTCACTTTTAGCGGGGGATCAGAAAACGGGCAGCCCAGTAGGGCCTGTCCTTGTGGAGATCCCATGGCTTGGCGGCTCCCAGCCATTCGCTTCCTTAGCTTTTTAGCTTCTTCGTGCAGTTCCGGCACGTGTCTTGGTTCGCGACTCATCTGGTTTTCTTGGCATCTTAAGATCTTTTTAGTTGGGTTGAGTGGTTGAATACGGTTTCCTATTTTTTTACGAAAAGTTCGTCACTTGGGATCGATCCGAAAGCGGACGGATCTCGTGAGGTGTAAGCTGCTCTTGGAGGCGAAGCCGCCCTCCCCGCAGCACGAGGCACGTTTCTGGGTGCACTTGGGCGCAATCGATAGCCTATACCGTTGGCTGGCCCAAAAGGAAGCCAAATCTGAATGAGACTTGCGTTGTTTTGTTTAACCCCTTGATTTTGCACACCATTTTGTTGGCTTCCCCATGGACATATATGGAAATTCAATCAATAACAAGCCACGCTGTGGCCACTGGGCCAGTAAGAGATATACTATCCCGCCCCGCGAGCAGCTGTTGGAGCGGCCCAGGTGTTCGTTGTAGAGAGAGTGCTGGGTTGAGGCATGTGGGTTTGTCTTCTTTTGGGGGCCCCAAAAAAATGTCGGCCTTCCTTTTGGGTTTCCTTGCAAACCCCAAAAAAGCAAACGGGTACCCTGACAAAAAAAAAAAAACATTCCCACAGATTGGGGGTGCAATTTTGCCGGTATCACATCACTTTCCAGTGGGAAATCAAGGGTCCATGAAAGGTTCTCGTGCTTCCACTCCTTACTTTCCCTTAACCAGCGTCGAACTGCATCCACGGTTTCCCCTTTTGGGGGGATAGGTGTATGGGAGTCCAAGCGGTACATGGAATTTCCACCTCTCGTAAAGCATCATCCTGGGGCAAACCCCTTGCACCACACAGGCACAAGGCTCAGGGCATTTTGCTCAGCCGTTTGGGCTTGCCAAGCATCAGGCTGCTTGGCACTGATGTTGACGCTCGCAGTGCGACACAAAGACAAAAACAGCGATGGCCAAACCCAGTCCACACCAATTTATCCGCACATTCTTGACAAGCCACACAGCAGCGCAGAAACGCTTGTTCGCTTGTCTGAATGCTCGACTTACTTTGCCAGATCGGGGGGGCTTTATGCGAGCAGAGTACTTTGCCAGATCGAGGGGCTTTATGCTAGCAGAGTACTTTGCCAGATCGGGGGGTTTTACGCTAGCAGAGTACTTTGCCAGATCGGGGGGCTTTATGCTAGCAGAGTACTTTGCCAGATCAGGGGGCTTTATGCTAGCAGAGTACTTTGCCAGATCGGGGAGCTTCATGCTAGCAGAGTACTTTGCCAGATCGGGGGGCTTTATGCTAGCAGAGTAGTTTGCCAGATCGGGGGCTTTATGTTTATGCTAGCAGAGTACTTTGCCAGATCGGGGGGCTTTATGCTAGCAGAGCGCTAACGTTGACTTTGGCAGGGTGCATATAGTCAAAACTCCAATCTTTGTCCCGACACCGCAAGTCACATAACTGAATAGCATTCCAGCTTGGGTTTGAGCGGGAAACACAGCTGCTCAAAACATGATATCTCTGTTTTTGTTGTTGCTTACGGTGGCTCAATTGCTGAACTGGGGACAGTGCTCCTTGTTAAGGGCAAACCGCTTCTCACGCACATCCATGGCTCATGTCCTTCCTGCGGCGGCTCCTGCCGGGGGCCCTGGGCACGGTCTTGGCCTTGCTGCTGCTCAACCGCCGCTTCTCGGACGGCGAGAGACCGCCTCCAGCAGCGGGCGGGTGCTGCGCGGGCATCCGCTGCGGGGGGAAACCGCAGCTTGGGGAAGCAAGCTGGGCCTCCGGGCGGACTCGGTTGGGAAACAGCCCGAAAGAGAACCAACCGGACAATCAGACCAAAATCTAAAAAGGCAACCTTAAAAGGAAGCGGGGAGGGGCAAGGCGGGCCGATGTTGGTTTGGCTGGAAGCACAGGGTGTTTGAAGTCAGCAACAGGAGTCATGCATCATCAAATCGTTGGTCCAATCAAAAGATTCACGAGTATGATCTAGAACACAACTCGTTTGAGGTTGGCAGAGCAACATGCAAGAGCTGTTGCGCTCACATTGGCCTACTTGGTAGGAACTTAGGAACATCGAGGCTTTGGCTGCGGTGCCCGCGGGGGTGGCTCAATGCCACTGGCGTTTTTTTCTTTCACCCTGTTGGACATGAGGCTTGGTAAAAGGAAAGCGTGCTGTCAACTGGCGTGCTGGCCCGTCATTGGAAACCAAGCAGGTTGTAGCGAGGAAACCAAATAACACTTCGTGCTCCAGCGGGTAAGCATGGACTCCTTTCCCCCCCAAAGAAAAAAACGAGCAGGTGTTTGGAGGAATCTTGCTCTGGGTGACCCTCTTTGATTCTTGCCCTGTTGAGTCTTGGGACAGCAAGCCAAGGTACCGGATTCTGGTGGTGCATGGCCAGCACAAGGCTTACAACCTCACTGCCATGTATGCGCCCATGTTGGACACCATCCTTCAGGGCCTGAGAAGCAAAGAAGAGCAGTGCAGCTACAGAACCGTGGCTGTGCTGCCAAAGCATCTGTCTGAGAATGGCAACTACGGCGTACTGGAAGCTGGGGATGTGATCCTTCATGTTGGGCTGGAGTATGAGGAAAACTTCACCAGACGCTGCCAGGAGGAGTTCGCGCCCAACGTGTACTGCATCCTTTTTCAGACCGAGCATCGGTCCATTCAAGCGCCACAGGGCCTTTGCGAAGTGTGGGAATATACACGTGCGAATCGACCTACAGCCCCGGTGGTGAGATATGTACCTCCAGGCTTTCTGCCACTTGAGGTAGCTGTGGCCGAGAATGATCGGCAGCCAGGTTGCCAGTATATAGTTGTTTTCCTTTTGCTGAATTTAGAATATGCATTCACACATGTAAAACATACATTACACATATTAGTATATATATATTGATATATGTATATATTTACGGGATGAAGCTGGGAAAGAATTATACGAGTCTGTCTCGTTCCGTGTTCCCCGCTTGACACCAAATTCGAGGCAAGTGCAGCAAGCCGCCGCAAGCCTCGCCGCTTTCGGCGGAAAGGGGGGGCTTCAGTGGATCTTTGTGGGCTCGATGCCTCGCAAGCGGCGAAGCTGTTGGCAGCACCTGCGCGCCATGCCGGAGCTGGGCCACGTGCAGTTCCGGCACGTGTCTTGGTTCGCGAATCATCTGGTTTTCTTAGTTTTTTAGATCCTTCTTCAACTTTAGTTGGGTTGAGTGGTGGGGTTTCCGTTTTGTATTTTCCCCAACCAAAGTTAGTCGCTTTTAGCAGGGGATCGATCTGAAACCGGCCAGGTGAATGGCATTTTCCAGGCCCAGAAGTGGAAAGACCTGGCCTGGGGGCAAGGAAGGAAGCTGTTTCTGAACATGCAACTCGCAGCAAGCAAGCCACGTGCTCAAAACCGATTCGTCGGTAGATGATCCGGTTGGTAAGTACGGTGGGGCCACCCATTTGTGAAAAAGCATGTTGAAACCACTGCAGTTGGTAAGGGGCCATCCCAACCATAAATAGCTGCGGATATCCGCCTTCTTAATTCTTTACATGGTTCTGGGTCGACCATTTTAATACCGGGTTTTGATTGTGACTCAAGTTTCCGTCGTGGTTGCGGTCAAGGACAAGGTAGTCAATCTGGGGTAAAACAATGATGGGGAGATGTTCCCGTTTTGATTTGGGCGTGTCCGAGATTTTGCTGGCTGCGAATTGGGTGTGTGGTTCGGGTAACCTTTGTCCAGTGCTTTAAAAGAGAGATACAAAGAAAAACCCACGCATTTTGCGGGGGTTCTCCTCATGTAGAGACCCCGCTTTAGCGTGGTTGTGGAAAACAGGTTTTAAGGCTAGTTCCCTTTACAGGGATAAAGTGATAAAGTGGTTATGGGGATGGCGCTTTTAGTATCACAGAAAGGGTCAGGCAGGGAGAAACCTCCAAAGTAGTTGGACATGAATTCCCCCCCGAATTCTGATGTCCACCATTTCGGGTCCCCCAATAAATAATTAGGGTCATGTGCTTCCCTACAGTGAGAATTCTTCCTCCAGTTAAAATGTTCCGTTTCGCGGCAAAGCCATGCCAAAAGGGGACCGAGGCACAAGAAGTGCAACGCTTCCGGCTCGTCCCCGCCGTTGGAGACCAACCGGGTCTCCACGTTGCTGAGCTTTGGCGGAGTGGTGGTCTCGGAGCGGGTGAACTCGGAGGACGCCAGGATGTTTGAGGACTGGTTTTTAAAAACTTGCGCCCATAGGTGTCCTTTTTGGTTGGTTTGCTTAAAAAATAGAGGGCGATTCCTGGTTTAGATGGTTCATTCCATTTACCAGTAACACCCATCTATTTTTCCAAAAGGCCACCTATGCCTGCGCCGGTTCTCAGTGGAAGTATTCGATTTGGGGTTTTCCCCTAGTGATATTTGGAATGAGACCAAACCCGAATATTTCACAATGGTCGTAGGCTATAATATATGGGTGTGGCTCAAAATGTCCATGTTTCCACTTACCAGGGTTCCATTTTGGTACCGGTTCTTTGAGCCATAGCCATATATATATATATAGAGAGAGAGAAGGCAGAATCTGACAGCAGCATTTCTGTACCCAAGTGGTGAGCCAAGATTGGGAGAAACCTCGGCCGACCATTAGACTAAAGGTGGAATTGGTTCCTTCAATGCCCCATGCCTTTTCCATGTCTTGCTGAGAACCAGCAACTTTGTGGGTTTGATTCGGGGGAGGGGCTTGCAAAAGCCGAGGTCTGCATAATTGTAGTCTTGCTGTTGCGATAGGCAGGGAATGAGGGAATGAACCGGAAGGGGAGGAAACCACAAGTGAGATGTTTTCATGGTTGTTGTTGGGAAACATCACGTTTTTGCTTATTGTGGTTTAGTGGGAAATCCCCACTTAAGTGCTAAAACATAGATGTTTGCTCCCCGTCCAACGTCAACCAAGGTTTATAAGGGTCATTCCATGTCTCATTCACTGCCGAGAACACACCAGGTAGTGTCAAGCCGGCGGGAACTTGGGGGATAGGACGTGATCTTGGTGGAGGAGAACCTCTTTGGCACCTCACCGGGCATTCGTGGTGCCCCCAAATTGGGTGTGGGTCAAAACCTATGGTCATTTTTGGGGTAGGTGCACCACCCATTTTGGTCTATTTTAGTGGGGATTGGGATGGGGGTACCGGGGTTTTGACCCATGGCAAAAAAAACGCCAGAAAGCGGTTTCTTTCCTGCGGATTTCACCTGTTCTTAGTCGTCTCTGAGTACTCTTTGAATATGCTGCAGGTGTGGGTCTAAAGATTCGCCACATCCAAGTCGCTTTCTAGAAATAAGGCCCTTTGCTGGAGTTCTGCAAATGTGTTACTTCAGTGCAAAGCCTGCACACGCCCAGAACTAGATGGGTAAACCGTGTACAAACATGCATTTGCAAGGGCTCGCAAAGCCCTAAAGGGCCAGTCTAAAGCACGCAAACTTCACAATTCGCACAGGTTGGTTGGGTCGCAAAAGTTAACGCATCTCAATCAGCAGTTCTGGTGTTTCCGAAGTTGACAGGTGCATAAGTTTGCCTCAACCATCGGTTCCTGCAACACTGTTTCAGCGGCACTAGGGTCAGTGTGTCCAACAAGAGCCGGAAATGTTCTATATACATGGTACAGGACGTTCCGCTCGCAACTGTCCAAAACGTTTCCAACTAGTTGTAGAATCATTTTTTGAGGTAGCGCCCATTTCTTTGCTTCAGCGTGTCGTAGGGTTTTGTCGAGTGCCCACCCATGAAGAATCCTTTCTTGGGTCCCTTTGAGTGAAAGATCGATGAATCATCGTTTGCAACCAGGTTTCTGAAATGGGCTCTTGGCACCCCTCTGGTGAACGGCTTCCCGATGCGGCAGAGAGGGAGGGAGAGAACCAGATTTGTTTATGTTTTTTTTGCCCCAGGCAGCTACTCCGATTGGAGCCCACGCTTGCGGGAGCTCCTGGAAGACCCAGCGAAACTGGCAGAGCCTCCCGGATGAGGGCAGTGCGCGCAGTTTCGGGCTGAAGCGGGGCCCTTTGAAGATGTCTTTTTCAGGACGTTTGGACCCCACAAAGCCGGTTTTGTTCCTTTGGTTTCCCTTGGAAACCAACCAAAAGCGGGTAACGTTCAAAAAGGGCGGGCCACACTTTTGGCCGAACATGCGACGCGGGCAGCGGGCGTTGCTTTTGGCCTAAGGTTTCAGGTGTCGGCCTACAAGACCTTCAAGCGCCGCTTTCAGCCAGAGAAGCTCTTGGCAGACGCGGGGCTCTGGGAGCCTTCGGCTCCAGCTTCGGCGTGCGGAGAAAACGACGAGCACGCCGGGGGTCGGGGGTCGTCGCGGGGACCGATGGTCGAAGGCGTCGAATGCGTCGACATGAGCCAAAGCTGAATCTGGGGCGGATGTTCTGAAGAGGGTGTTGGCGCGGCAGGCGGCCGCCACAAGCCTCCAGCTGGACCTGCGGCGGCCCCAGCTGGCGTGGGGGGGGGTCAAAGGAGGGAGAGCTATGGCAAAGATCCCTTACCTGAAAGATGTGTTCTTATTCCGGGTGTTGGAAATATGGTAACCTTTGTAGGGGCTTTCCCTTACTTCAGTTTTGGAGATATGGTAACATTTGCGGCTGGAGCGATTAGAGTAGAGGGTAGGGGGGGGGGTGGGGGTGAACCGTCCTGTGAATCCTGATTTCAGGTGGGTGGATCGTTGTTGATCCGTGTCACGGTCGTCCTTACGGCTGAATCGGCGGAACTGTGCAGTCTTTCTTCGTTAAAGCTTTGAAGGGAATGCACACCGGATGAACAAACCAAGTGGATGAACAGGACATCCGGCCAGGCCGCCCAATCAGGATGCAATGTGAACCCAGTTGCCCAGTGGTAGGGTTCCCGTTCAAAGTCAAGCAGCCAAAAAAAAATACCCTTTCTTTCCCATGGAAATCCACTGGGCATCTGAGTTCTGAAGCTGGCGTTTGAGGCAGTTTTCGGACATGGCCGCACGGACCGCACCCAGGCCTGGCGTCCAGTTGCGAGGGGCCTCGGGCTCAGGGGGGGGGCTTGTCTCGCATGCTAGAAGAACCTCGGCAAGGGCATTGACAGGGGTGTAGGTGATCACTTGTTCAGACCCGCAATCTAACACCCAGTTGTCAAGATCTTCAAGAGTTGTGAGAGTCGCTGCAGCTTTCAGCCTTCTGTTCACCCGGTCATTACCAGCACAGGGCTCCTGAAAAAAAAAAACATTTGCCACCATTTGAGACCATGGCTGGCTTTTTCAACCAGACAAAGTCGGAAACCATTTACATAGTTGCAATGTTTGATCGGTGTTTTTCACGCATCCGGATCCCAGCAGTTGGCTTGGCCTGGTGCAGGTGGCCGCAGCGCTGGACGGCATCTGGGACCTTTGGGTCCGTCGATCCACGCTTTTGGGATCGGCCATGGGGGTTTGTTTGATGGGTACAAGCCCATGGGCTTGGGGCAGTTTGAGGAAACTTTTGGAAGGTTTGGCTTTTGGAAGGTTTGGCAGCTGCAAAATGGAAAGGCCGAGGAGCCAACTTGTGGATTTGAGGGGGGCGTGGTTCTGGCAGCTAGGAGTTGAGTTTCTGGAAGGTTGGCAGCTGATAGAAAGCCCGAGCCAACTTCTTCTTCCCCAGAATTAGCTCCCCTGTCTGCTTTTTTGCTTTTTTGGGGTTCCCTCTGTTTTCCACTCACCAGGCAAAAAAGATATATTTTTTGCTGGGGTCCTAATTCCAGCCGAGTCTTGTAGATTTGAGGGGGGCGTGGGTTCTGTGCCATCTTTCTATTTCTTTGCCCCGCTCGCTTTCTCGGCACGCACCGCATGGGAGTCTTGGCCGGCATTTCCACAGGAGGTATCCGGTCCAGCAGCTCTGCGAGCCACTCCGCCTTGCCAGCCATTTGCCGCGGCCAGCCTGAATTGAAGGAGCCTGCGAGCGGGATACCTGGACATTACTTTTCAGCCTGACGTTTGGTGAATGTGTAGCTGCGCAGGGGTATGTGAAAAACAACGCCAACTGATGCAAGCAACAGAGCCCAAGCAGAAGCGCACAAGCATGACAAATTGCACCCGAAGAACGGCCACAGAACCCAATCCAGCACTTTACAACAAGCACTGGCAGCACTGGTGAGCAAATTGCTCAGCCTCGCGCTGTGGTGCAAGGCAAGGTCCGTGCTGGGCGGTTGGTCGGCTAACGGCTTGTGCCCTTGACTCGACCTGCCGCTGCCAAAGCACGTTGGTTTCTGGCATTTGCCTTGAAGGCCTTGTCTCAGTCCATGGCTCGGACAGCCAGACCGCCACTTGATGCCAGGGGCAGACGTACGTCGTACATGAGCTTGCAGCTGCCCCAGTCCAGTCCCAGCGCACCGTCAAAGTAGCTATGAACATGAGCCTGTGTGCTTATGCCATTTACCCCCTCAGTTTTCACAAGGCTTTTGTTTGCTTCCGTTTTGCTCAGGTTTCACATGGTTTCACTCGGTACGTGGAAAGCCTGAATCCGTTTCGAGGAAGGATTCTTCTTGACCTTGCAGGCTTGCAGTGATAAGATGCTTCAGGCTAAGTGTGACCAAATCGCGTGATTGCGTTCCTTGCCACCAAGTTCAAAGTGGCTTAGAATGTGAAAACTAGCTGCGAAACAAACAAACCTGCCAGCAGCTGAAACATTCTTTGTGGATGTTTCCGTGGGCGTGGCTCAGTTTCCATCGCTGGGGTTGGCGGGCGGGGGGGGGGGGTGAGGGGGTGCAGTGCTTGCCTCCGGCTCTACGGGAAAGGCTGCCATGTTGATGCCATCCAGACTCAGCTCGGCCCAAGCCGATTCAGTAAATGCAGATATAGCAATGCACACACACACACACATATATACACATATACATAGAACAAATATATCTATATATATTCTGTGTATATATATACATACATACTGTGTATATATATATATATATGTAGATATGGACAAAACCGATGCCCATTGAAGTGGACAAGGGAAGTGAGGCCTTCTCGGCGCCCGAGGCAGTCCCTGTCCAGTGACCTCTCCTTGGACGCCGCCATCGACCTGCTGCGCTTGCGTCAAGGGCAGGACCCTGAGGCCGGCGCTCGGTGTGGCTCGTGTCCGGCTCAACCAGCCGTCCGGCTCCGTAAGCTTTCCAGCTATTGACTAGGTCCCCCAGTAGTGCCCTTTTACCATTTCCTTTTTTGGGGAGGGTTCCCCTACTTACAAAAAACTACGGAAAAAAGGCTACCCTTATTCTAACCTCTCTACTGGAGGACCTAGTTGACTTGGTTTAGTGGCTGAGTTTCCATATCTAACCCGCAAAACGTAAACCTCAGGAGAGCTGAAAAAACGGACAGCCCAGTTTACATCGCGCCTCTTTGTCTCTGTGACTTCCTTGTGGGTGTTTGCATGTGTCTCATTCGATCAAAAACCCACGGCGAGGATCGAGCGGTGATGTGAGGTTTGTCGCGCGGTGAAGTGAGGTGAGATCGGGGTGCAACGAAGACTTTGCATGTCGCATGTTTGCCTGTTTGACCTTATCTTAACTTGAATGTTCTAGCCCGCGGCAAAATACCAGATTCCCCAACAGGAAGCATGTTACGAAGGCGAACAACAAAGATAATCTGGAATGTGCTGGGGTCGTTGCTTTCGCCGTCCCCGAGCTCATGGGCTTTAAGCTGCTTGGGAAGACCATTTTAGTGGTAAGTCCCAAGTTTGTTTTTTCCCGCATGGACTTTAAACTGTTTGGGAAGACCATTTTAGTGGCAGGTTAAAAAGTGGTCTTGTTTTGTGTTGCCAATCCACGGAAGGAAACAAGTCGTTTTCTTGACCCTAGCACTTGGCATCTCGGTGAACTCGCTGCGAGTCAGGCGCCGGAGAGGCCGGGGTGACGGGGTGACCCGGGCGCGCACCGGGGAAGCGGGCCGTGGAAATGGGTGCGTCTCTGTTTTTCGGGCGCCCTTTTCATGGCTCTTGGGAAAGATTTTGCATGTTTCATTTTGCGTATGTTTGCCCGTGGTGGTTGAGTGGTTGAAAGCCCAATCCACTGAACTGCTAGAATTTTTGATTTTTTGCTTGTTCCCCGAACCCAACGTCAACCCAGTTTTGTGTGGTTGCTTGCAAAGGAGACCACAAGAAGCGCTTTTTCTTTTCTCTTTTTTTTTGGGGGGGGAACGAAAAACAGGGGGCCCAAGTTTGAACACGATTGAGACAGCCCAGAGTTGTTGACATTCAGGAAATGTCACAGTTGGCGAATGTCTCCGTGATTCCCACTTGGCAAGTAACATAAATTGTTCTCGCATGTGTGTGAACTGTGCCCCTCAAAGGAGCTCCAAAGAGAGCCCCTTGCACTCTCTCTCTCTCTCTCTCTCTCTCTCTCTCTCTTCAAGCTTTGGACTTGCATTCCATGGCCGAAATTTTGTGCCCCTCCCAAGAATGAGTAATCTAGCATCAGCGCTAGTTTGGGGCTGTCCTTTGACTCCACCCTGGTCCACCCTGGTCCACCCTGGTCCACCCTGGTCCACCCTGGTCCATCCTGTTACTGTGGTAGCGTTTGAGATGCTCGTGGGGTGCACCTGGCGCAGGCTATCGGCATTGCCCGGTAGGCGCCGCACCTCGGCGCCTGCAGGCGCATCAGAGAGCGGGATGTTCACTCTTTTCTCTTCACTGTTGGCGGTTTTGTTTTTTGGCGGACGGCCACTGGAGAAGTTGTGGACAACGCCACAAGGGGACCCAAAACGTTTCGTTTTGGCACAGCAAGACCTTTGGTTCCATTCCTGTCAGGTAGAGTCACTGCGATTGGCCAGAAGATGTAGCATGTTCTTGGGGGGCATTTTCAACCCATACTTTGTTAGTATCTTCAAGTGAAAATTCGAGGGCGATGTGTAGCGTGCTTGTCCCAGAACTCGTATTTGGCACCTAGTTCTTACAGGAAGTGCCGACATCTTCGGACAGCGTTGCCGTATGGCTTGTTCATATGAGTGCATATGAGTGCATATGTGTTATATGTGCTTGGTGAAGACTCTCCAAATGACGCCCTAGCCTGATCCATGTATACATGTTCCCTTTGGTGCATTTTGCTTGGCTGTTAGGACTTTAACTTTTTGCCAACTAATGGGTTTTCCACTAAACCACTAAAAGTTAAACTTTTAGCAGGGGAGCAGAAAGCAACCGAGTTCCAGCCATGCCAGGGCATAGGCTTGAGACCAACCGTTTGCCCTTCACATCGCTTCGCTCTCGGCGCGCGTGTCGATGCAGGTAACGGGCCAGACGTGCTGCTGGATTCCAATCCGCCGGGTCCTTATGGCCCGTCAAAGCGTTGGGCCCGTTTTCAAAGGGGAAGATGGTACGGGCCAGCGAGTGAGCGGGCACCCATGAGTTTGCAGTTTTTTTTCTAGCAAACAGCTTGGAAAAGCTGTGGCGAATCTGTGGGTCCAGCCCCATCAAATATTGGAAGAGGACAAGCGGAGTACTTAAAAGAAGCGACGGAGGGAAGAACGGGTGAGATCCACAAAGAGCGCATCCAAACCGTTTTCTAGAGATTTGATGGACCTTCGTTCCACCCCAATACAGATGCCAGACTACCACAATCGTGAAAAGAGCAGTTGTGCGCTGGCGCTTGTGTTGAAATGCTGAGAACATCCCTACCTCCCCCCAAAAAATGGAATTGCGGGAGGGGGGAAACCCGAGGAGATCTCCACGCATGGTGAGCCATTTTTCTTTTCCATGGGAAGATTAGAGGAATGAAATTAAAAACCCCCCCAGCCTCCCCGGGATCTGGGAACAGCTGGTCGCAGAACAACTGGTTAAGGCCGCCACATCCAGAGAGCGGTGCAAAACATTTGGCCACTTGGTCGACCCAGACAGCAAGAAACCAAGCGCCACGAGATTTCTTGCCACAGGGCTGTTGCTGCAACTTGTGATTGAATTTGATGGCCGTGAGAAATTGGAAGGGGGCACAAGCAATAAAGTCGCAAGATCGATCGGATCTATCGCGCTCTGGGCAATTCGCCTGGCGAGAGCCAGCGAGTGAAGTTGACCATAGGGCTAGGGCTTCGCTGCAGGAGTCAGGAACATGATATCAGTCAACGTGGTGACCTCACGAGCTGAGTGTCACTCCCAAACATCCGAGCCAGAAGCTACGGAGATCAGTGACGTGAACTCACTTCTGTGTTGAAGCCTTCGTTTCCAAGGGCATCTTCAGGTATGATGCTTAAGGCTTGCATACCACCAACACAATTACAAGGCGTTAGATACCTCTTAGAGTGCTGCATAGCCTCCATAATTACCTCTAACAGCCCTCTTCTTCGTTTGCTTTTGACGTTCCCTTCGGTGGATTTTCCAGGTTAGTGTTCTTTTTTAGCCCCTCAAAATGGGTTTCCCTTTGAAAACAAGCCCAGCTGGTATCCCCAACAGCCCCGCAACTGTGAACCCGACAGCAGCTGTTGGGGGCAAAAGCTACCCTCAGTGTCCACTGGCATGGGGACAACGACGAGCCCTGGTGTTGAAATCAAACCTGTCTCTGTTTTTATAGTGAGCTGCGGGGATGAAACGAGCTCATGATCGAGGTCCTTTACTTGGGGATCCGATTCTTACTTCAGCTTCTGGAAGTGGCGTATTTTTTGCAGAGCCTCATACATGCATACACATACATATATACAGACATACATGCATGCAGGCATGCATGCATGCATGCATGCATGCATGCATGTGCATGCATGCATGCATACATACATACATACATACATACATACATACATACATACATACAAATGTAGCGATGACACATCTGGAACGCTTCTCTCCCAAGGCCCCGGCCTGCAACGTGCCCCAGCGCTCCTTCACTCGCCAGCATGGCGTCCAGGCGCCCCTTGGTTGTCCGTGCCTTTGTGGATGAATTCCGTTCCCCTCCAAATGTTTAATTATTGTTTGTTTGAGTATTACCTCATGTATTTGTGTACGTGCATTTGTTGATGCATTTGTGTATGTAATCATTAATTTATCGGTGTCGTGTTTGGATTGGTCAATTATTTGGTTTCTTAACTGGTTATTCAGTATGCACTGTTTTGTCCATTCATTGTTTCAGCTTTGTTTTTGCATTTCTTATGTTTTCGTTCATGTTGTTTCATGCTTTATCGATGCATTCATTCATTTATTCATTGTTTCACTCAGTTAGTTGGTTAGTGAGTTGCAGGGATACCCTCGACATAGGGACCCTGGGACTTTTTCCCCATTGGATCCTTATGGAAAAGGGACATGTGGGGTGGAACCTACAGTAAGCCCTTGATCCTCCGAGGTGTCAAACTGTATCCAGGGGATAGTGTGAAAACCCAGCCTCCCAACTTTCCCAACTCACTTCCTGAAAGACCTGGACTTTCAACTGTCCGAGAAGACCATGCCAAACACAAAGTTGTTATATTTGTTGGACTGATCCACTCAAGTGAGCCAAAGTGTGAAAACCGTTTGCTTCCCCCAAGTGTTTTTGGACAGCTGGGACACCAGGTGGGAACTGACCAGTGTGAAACTACCTGACCACTGAAGGTTTTTAGTTTGAAGGCTGTTTGCAGAGGGGGGCTTTTGAGTAGGGAGCCTGCCTCCTTCACGGGTACCTTGAGCAAGCGGGAAGTTCTAAGGAGCTTTCGCCAGATCCTTCCTTGGATTGGCACGGTGTGTTCGCATGCATGATCCCAAGTCTGGAATGTGGAATGGTTGCTTCGCGCTGGGCGATAAACAAATACACAATTATTTCCTGAAAGAAAACAGGAGGCATGGAAGGTTCCCCATTCTTTTCAACCATCGTTCTTTTTGAAAACCAGCCGTTTTCCCCGGGGTTCTGGGGGTTTTCTAGAAAGATCCGGATCCCTGGAAATCATGGGGGAGGTACCCCTAGAATACTTGATTGCTATTATTTACAACCTTTAGACTTTGGCTTTTTGGAAAATAGAGTCGTGCTTTCCACTAAACCCCCCAAAAGGTGAAGCTCACTTTCTGCAGGGGGGCTCCTTGCAGCAACCAGCCTTTTGGTCTTCCACATTTGGTCCACATTTAGTCAGGGTCCAAAGGTTAACCTTTGGGTTCCGGGGCCTTTGGGCAACTGAGGTACCCCTAGACCTCCCCAATGATTCGCGGAGTACGGATTGATGGCGCAATTTTGCGGATTAGGCCGTTTTGGTGTAGGACACCCCAAATTTTGTGATTAGGATTTCCGGGGAAATTTGTTTCGAACAGGCTAGAAATTGAGGCACCCCCTGGGAAATTCGGCGTGTCCCACGGGGATGTCTGCGGTCTGCCCACCGCAGGCCCAGCCCCTTGAGCCCCTTGAGCCCCAAGAGCCCACTACGAGACGCGGCGGTGGTTCGATCGACGGGCTCGTTCTCCATGCCGGGGAGTTTTTTTTTTTTTTTTTTTCCGAGGTCGGCCGGGTTTTTCTGAAAGAATGGCGTAACCCCTACCCCCCGCGCCGCAAAAAGGGAAAAAAGAAGAAGAAAACAAAAACGAAGGTTGGTTTCCTATTTTGGTTTCCCTTCAACACCACCCCAAAAAGGGTAATCAATACACCCAACTAAATTTGATCATCGACGCAAATAGCATGGGGCTGCCTATCTTCTCCCGGAGCAATTCCGAAATGCTCCTTAGACAGACTGACAATTGCAGGTGCCCTCACTGCGTCTGAATGGTGGCACCGCTGCATGTGGAAAGCAAAGGCCCACCGAGGTTTCGAGCACAGGCGGCAATAGTTTATATGCAAAGATCCTCCATCTTGTTGGGATAGCATGGTGTAGGCCAATACGTCCTTGAAACGCGGCGGGAATGCACTGTGCCGGCCTTTACAGCTCAGAAGGCACGCCCTCCTCACGTGTTTTGCTTGGCTGGCTGGTTTGATCAGACGGGAGCCAAAGGCCCTGGTGCCTTCAGAAGTGCACCGGCACAGGCGTTGGGGAAGCGCGCTTCTAAAGATCCAGAGATGGCTTTGTTTGGGGTATGGCTGCAAGCACGCATCCTTACAAATTATGACGGCTACAATGCGCGTCCAAAGTCTAACAGTCAGAAGGCTGAGAACTGCAGATCTCGAGGCCAAAGATCCTTTTCAAGAGGACCGCAGGGCTGAAAACCAGAAGCTGCAGTTGGGCGTTTCTGTGTTTGAGGGTATTTGATGATTTCAAAAGGGGAAACCACCGGGACAAGCACTGGTTTGGTGGGTCCCTTCAAGGACTGGAAGCGCTGCTGCCGAAGCAGGTCATCATGGCCGCTCGGCGAGCTTTTGTGGGGGGCCTTTGGGGGCTTTGGGGCCGCTTGAGAGCTCTCGGAAGCCCGGTGGAGTCCGCCCCCTTTTTTGTCCAAGTTTTTTGGGGGAGGGGTTCTCCTTTAAACTGCACCAGCCAAAAAAGGATGCCCTTTTTCTTTCCCGTGGCCACTGGGCGTCTGAGAGAGGGATCACATCAAGACATGAGCCAACCTGCGCAGGGTGGAAAGTACGGGGGCCGGCTTGGGACCCCGGTGTCATCTTGTGGCAAAGTCCTTATCTCACTTCCCGAGTTCATGAACTTTATTTTTTTTGGGAAGACCATTTTAAGTTTGGACCTTTTTTGGGCCATTCACCCAGCCAGTGAGTTATTGGGTCACCAGAAAGTTCCACGATTTCGTGAAGCTCTCCATGCCTTCCAGAGAACTTTCTGACAGATCCGTTTTTAAGCTCATCAGATTCCCCCGTCTCGCCCTCCCATCACATTAACTAGCGCGGGCATGCCTGCTGACCTGATCTTTCTGCAGCCCTACCCTTGGGGCAAACAACCGGATCTCATTCTGCCAGTAGAGCCGTTGTGAACACTACTGCCTTTTCGTTGTGGCCCAGGAGTTGGTTAGTATTCTGTCTTGTTCCTTTTCTGTATTCCCTACCTTTTTGTCTTCATGCAGAATCCGTTTTGTAGCGCTTTTGCGGAAACCCCTCGACACGACTCTGCGCTGGCTCGCCAACAGCAGGGCTTACTCTTTTTGAAACACCGTGAGAAGAAACAGGCACAAACGGGCACTAACGCAGGCAACGAAACCCAAATTAGACCGTGCCAGCTGCAAGGGCCAAAACAAGCTCACCAAATAATTGTCCTTGGGGATCTCTCGTGCGCAGCAGGCAATCATTATCGTCAAAATTGTTCAGATGCCCTGTGCACCCTTGTGTTGACATTTGCCGCTTTGCTGCCGCGTGCTTGCACAGCCCAGTCATGTGCGATGCGGCCAATGCAGGCTTGACCAACGAAAGCCTCTCCACAGACTATCAGTCAGCACGTTGCTGACACTTGCACAACCAGAGAATAAGCCAAAGGCTGACCCATGTTACCCTCCGACCAACTAACATAGAACCTGACAAGGGGTTCCTTAAAAGGAAAAATGTCTTCCACCCCCTGTCAGGTTCCATGTCAATTTGTGGGAGGGTAAATTGCGTTGCCAAGGATGAGCCGATCCCGGATCGCTTGGTGGACATGCTGAGGACGTGGGACGTGATGTGCAAAGAGCTAGCCCGACATAACGGCCGATAAGAAGGGTTAGCTAACAGGGCGTGGGGGTGCTCAGCGACCGCCTGTTACTTTTTATTTGGAGGGCACGGAACTTGCCAAGATGCCCTTCTTTGATTGGGGGTGCATGGCCACACGCCTCACCCAATGAAATTCCATTGCTTTTCGGGGCTCCAAACCTTGTCGGATGGCGTGCTTGCCCCTGGAAACGAGGAGGGCAGCGGACTTTGAGCAGCAATCATTGGAGCGAAGTACAAGCTCCAGGCGGGTTTCGGAGAAATCTGTATTCAGCTTGTGGATGACAAGCGTCGATTGCATTGACTAAATGAGATTTGGTGCATTCTGGCGCCAATGTATCGATTGTATAAATGAGACCACTGACTAAATGAGACTACAAGCGTCGATTGTATCCTTTGCGTTTAACTGTGTTTGGCGCTGTGGCCCCACCTCAGACAGGCAACTTGTTTGCGGTGGCGGCAAGCCGCACTTGGCAACCTAAACGTCAGAAACTTTCCTGCGAACTGAACTCTCGCTCCATTACACAGAGGGACATTAATTACTTCCTTTGATACGTACATATATGTATACATACAAATATGTACATTTAATCATAGTAAGGCCCGTTTGAAGAAGCACTCTTTTATAGGCAGGTCACCGAGTTTGTAATGTTAACCCCGGATTAATAAACCCCTGGTTGATGAATAAGGGGGGTGTCCCCTTTTAGTGGGGATTCAGACCACTTTTGGAGGGAACACCCCCTAACAGTGGGACGGGTTTATTCATCCTGGGTCAAGATTAGATCATATGATAATTATGTATACAAGTATACATTTGATCATAGCAAGGCCCATTTGAAAAAGCACCCTCTAATTGAACAAGCAGCCTCTTATAGGCAGGTTACCCTCCCACCAACAGGTTCAACATGGAAGTGCACAGACCCCTGTAGCAAGACTACTTTCGTCTTGGAAAGGGGCCTTTTTGCACTTCCATGTTAGTTGGTGGGAGGGTACCGGGTTTGTACGTCCAAAGGCTTGGGGCAAACGCCGCAGGCGCTCGCGCTTCACCCAGTCCTGCCAGTCCTTTCGGACCAGGACCAGTGTAGCGTCCTCCAGGCAGACGACGCGACTCCCCCCGACCGACCTGGGGTTCTCTGAAGTGGCTGTAGGTCAAAACCGTTTTGGTTGATCCCATTTTGGGGTACTGTAGGTGAATTCACCACCCACTTTAGAACCTCCCCTTTTAAGTGGGGATTGGGGTGCTCACTGGGGGTACGATTTGGATTTTGACCCATAACCAACTCAAGGACCTCCTTGAAAGGTTTTAAGAACCTTTCCTAGGGAGGGCCTTTGGGTTTTAGCCCTTGAACTCCTTGCCGCTTGCCCATGGTTGCTGCACGAGCCGGTAGACAGGGTGCCCTCTATTTCCCTTCTGGCTTTGAACATCAACTTGTTGGCCTATGTAAGGTGAGAAACAAATATGTTGAGCAAACATCAACTTGTTGAACAAACGTCGCCCGCACCTCCCATGTACGCGCAGCTGCCCTGATTTGAAAATATGTTGGCCCTACGATCTAATGCTTGGCGTCACCACCCACTTTGAGCCAAAAAAACATATAAGGGTATTTCAATTTATTCCTCCAGTGTGCGGCTGTTGGCAGATGTCGGGAATCAGAACATGCGTGGAAACTCAGGATTCTGAAGAACATGTTTCCGCCGATTTCCCAGTCAAAGCTGTTGCATGTTAGGACGTGGACAGGGTTCGCCAACTGCCGACATTGCTAGTCATATTTCAAGGCTGGACTATTATGGCGAGTTCACCCCGCGAGTCAAGCAGTCTCACCTGTGATGGAGGCGTTTGACTTTGGGATTTCTTCAGGGCGGTGACTTATTTCCTTTGCAGACAAGTCTTCAAGGCACGGGTGTGGTTCAACCGCGGGCCTTAGACACGGGCTGTGCGCGACGCGCAGGAAAGCTTGCATGCCCGTTGGAACGGGACAGGGGTTGATTGCTCCGGATGGCACGTGTTCCGCATGTGGCGTTCGGAGCTCGGCAAGTCGCCAAGTCGCCACCGCCCATGTTCAGCAAAGCCATCGGCATCGCTTCCAGGCTCTCGCGGGCGGTGTCATTGAGGCAGCAGACCAACCGAGTTCTGGCAACTCGCCAGGGCGCCCCAGCGAATCGCGATGGGTCAGCTGGTAGAAAACAGCCACCCGAGGCAGTTGCAAATCAGGGAGCAGTGAAAGCTTAGTCCTGTGCGAACTGCGGAGAAATCTGTCAGGGCCACCTGCCCCTGGTAATCAAACCAATCCAGTCATATCCTTTACCTTTGGCATCGCGACCCGGGCCGGCGCTGGTGTAAAGTCAGAATCAGCAAGAAAGTGATTGATGAAACAGACGACTTATTGGGGCAAACCGGGCACTTCCTTTGAGAGATGTTTGCAAAGGGCAAGAATGCCATCTTATGCACACACCCAATTTAGGGGCATTATTGCATGAAGGGGGTGTATGTATATGCATATATGTAATTGTACGTACATATGCATATTTATTTACACTCACAACTGATGCTTGCCCGTTCTCGCACTTGCTTGTGGCTCAAAGCATTTTTTAAAGGTTCTGTCATAAGGCCTAAGATGCGTGGAGCGATCACAGAGCACTGCTCGCATGCTGGCCATGCTGGCTTTTTCTGGATGATCACCGTGCATCATTATGCGGTGCGCTGTTTTTCTACCAATGTCTGACAGAGAACTGCTAAAACAGGGCTCCTTAAAAGATACATTTTGCCCAATTGAAACATGTTTTTCCACCAAAATACAGGGAAACCACCATTTACAAGGCAATGTTGAGGCGTATAATGTAAGGATCCCTGTTTGGTATGAGACCCGATCCATGCACCTGATTGCAGCAGCTGAAGTAGCCTTTGGACTGTGCCAGTGTAGCCATGCTTGCCCGCCCGCTGCGCCCGCTGACAGTGCCGTGCACCAGTTGCGTCGCCGCTTCACAGGACAGCGCAAGAGCTGCGATTCTTTTGCCGGATACGTAATGGCCTATAAAGCTTGCATTTGTCACAAAAGGATGCCGAAAGGGGATGAATGTTGGTTTGGTAGATCACCCCGGTATTTGACATTTGGTGCATTTTGAGGTCCATGTGCCGAGTGTGATGTGTCATACGATGCTTTGTGCCTTGCCACCTTGGCTGGGAAGGGCAACGTGTTCTCAGCAAGCTTTTTACCAGGATTGGATGGCTCTGCCAATTTGATCAGCCCCTCGGTTGACCCCTGATGCTATAGGAGCCAAGGAGACGCTTGCAAGATGGCCTTTGCTTGCAGGCACTGCGCCTTCAAGGCAGACCTTTTTGACCCGCAGGGGTGTTCGGACATGGGACCTGGCCCCGAGCTGTCATGCGTCCTCTCCGAACTGAGCAGGGTGAGGGCGGGTAACTGGTGTCCTCAAAATTGTTTCTCCATGGATAAGATCAGAATTAGCTCCCCTTTTTGTTCTTTTGCTTTTTTGGGGTTCCCTTTGTTTTTTACTAGCCAGGCAAAACAGATCATTTTGTGCTGGGGTCCTAATTCCAGCCTAGAAATGAGGCCGCCGCGGATTTGGCGCGGCATGGTTGTTTGCTTTGATTGATTGGGCCGGCCAGGCGATCTGCGGAATGGCAAAACTCAAAGTTAGACGTGGCATCACTTTTGACACAAGTACTCGAGCCTGTCTGCAGCTCAAAGTGACAGTTTGGTTGCAGCTTCAGCAGGTGCTGCAGCGGCTGCCTTCACAAGCGCTCGATCACGGAGGCTGCTTTGTCAGTCATGTTGTGGGCTGTGGCGGTGGTGCATGTGCCCATTGCTTGTTGACATCGTGTTATATGGCAGGTTGTCATCCTTTGAACTTTGACACGGGTCACCTTGACAGGTTCCATTGAGTTGGCGAGAGGGTGGCCTTCTGTACTGCGAGGAATTTGTAGTTGACTGTCGATTTAACGAGACATCCTGTGTCAACCTTTGTTTGAGGATGGACAAGTGGAAGTTGCCGCTACTCAGAACGCACCATTCTCCCTAAAGAAGGGCGCAAGGAATCAAGGGAATGGACCATGTGGCATTTTCCACGGACCTCTCCCAATTTACACTCCGAACTTCAGTTGGAGCGTATCAAGCCGCTGTGCAGGCAACATAGCAGGCGATGTCGGGTGGCTAAGTCGAGCGCTTTGAGCTCCTTGCCACAGGCGCTCAGACCGTCATGTGATGCAACTGTCCTTTGGGGCGCCCAGCCTCGTGCCAAAGCCACTCGACGATTTGTATGGGCTTGGCCATTTTCAATTTTTGGATCCACGGAACACTTTGATCCCACAAGGTGTTTGTGGACACGAAATCAAAGCCCTTCTCGGAGGAACCAGTCAGCCGCAAGCGATGCAACAACAAGATACCTGCAGCCAGAGTTAGCAGCCGCGATTCTGAAGGGAAAGTGATGGCGACTTTTAGCAGTCACGTGCTTTGTTTGATTTGCTGTGCAACACGTGCCTGATGTACGTGGCGGTTTGGTCAGTTGGTTGGTCGGTTGGTCGGTTGGTTGGTTTTGTTTGCTTGCTTGTTTTGTTTGCTGCTGCATTTTTTGTTGCTGGCTTGTTTTTTTGCTTGGCCGGTTAGTTGGCTTGTTTGCTTGTTTGCTTGCTTGCCGGCTTGCTTGTTTTTTGTTTTGTTTGTTTGTTTGCTGGCTTGTTTGTCTTGTTGGTAGGTCGCTTCTTTTTTTGATAGTTGGTTTGCTTGCTGAGTTGAGTTGGTTGCTGAGTTTTGCTGCCTGGCTGGCTCGTTTGTTTGGCTGATTGGCCACTTGTATGGCACTGGCCGCAGGCTGTGGGCAACTTCCGAAAGGGCGCCGTCGAGCAGATCAGGACGGGGAAGAGATTGGGGTTGATCAAAAGGTCCCTTCTCTACCGCGCTATTGGGTTGGATCTTTATTTGGATTCCCTTCATATTTCCTCTTAACCAGCAAAAAGTTCAACTTTTTGCTGGGGGATCTACAGCACCCAAGCCTTGCGCATGGGGTGAGCATTAGGGAAACCACCAACAAAGATGAGTTTCACCACATGGGAGCAGTTCCCCATGGTTCGTTTTGGGGCCCGGAATATTGATCAACCAGGGCGGGAGTTGGGGAGGGATGGTTCCAAAAGCGGCAGCTTGCCGTGGCGGTGCGGAATTCCTTGACGTAGCCCAACAGAGCTGCTGAGGCCATGAGCTCCTATTCCAAACAAGGCCGAGCAGCCGCGGCAAAGAAACCGAAGTAAGCTGTCTTGCCAAAGTAGGGCCTGGGGATTGTGTTTCACTTCCGGATCCCTTTGGTTGGAAATCATATTCTTGGATCACGCCCACCCTTGTTTGAGCCCGCGCCGCGCGAGGAAGAATGGCGTCGGGATAATTTTCAGCCGCTCGGTGGTATGGGATGGGCTAGGTCCTACAACGAAGCGCATGTGGCCATTGGTACAAGTTCGGAAAGCAGCGCCAGACTATTCGCACTTGGCAAGAGCGATGCGTCGAGCTATACTTCCAGAACACACATGTTGCCTTTCAAGGCTAGTTGCCGCCCAGTCTCACATCTTTTGCCCCTTGTGTTGTTGCGTATCTCAGGCTATTTCCTGTGCATCGGCTTGAATGCCTGCATATGCTTGCTGATCAGTGCCGTCTCTTTCGTGCCAAGCTCAGTGCAGAGCACCGAGTGCTGAAGATCGGTTCTTGCATAGGGGTGTGACTTTTCACGGGGGACCCTTTAGTGGACATCATTTTGGTGGGGGTTCATGTCCACCAACCACTTGTGAAGGTGGTTCCCTATTAAACGTCATGGTCACATTTGCCCGTTGTGTCTTGTCAGATGTCGCCTTTTGCTTGGTGAGACTTACACGCTGGCCCAAGCGGCCTGGTCGCATGTCCTTAGGAGTGGACCACTGGGCATGCAGCTATCTCCTTGGAGCCAACACTTTCCTTGGACACGAAGCTGTGGCCTGCTTGCACAGGTGTTCGCATCTGGGTGTGCCTTTTGTGGAGTTGGTATCTCATTTTGCCTGGCTTTAAAGGAACACTAAAACGAAAACATCCATTTTGGGGTCCCTCCCGCAAAAGACATACCCACAAAAGGAAGGCTCCTTTGAAATACCTGGCGTCACGGTGGTCCTGTTGAAGATCGTGCCGACTGTGCCTACCCCCGGTTGCCACAACGGCAAGTCCCCAGGGTTCTTTGCTTGCGGGCGCAAATGAGTTCAAAACTTGCGGGCCTTTGAAGCTGCCGTGCGAGCGTCGGAGGCACCAGCTCCCTTGAAAGGGGCTTGGTTTTGCATTCCCCACGTTGGTGGAGTCAAGGGGTGGCTTGCGCTTCCAAGTTCCTTTGACAGTACTCAGACCATTGCAAAGCCCACACGGCATGGTTGGCTGAGTTGCAATCTAGGTCGAATTGTGGGACCAAGGTGTGCAGAAGACATTCCCCAGCAACCCCGCCCTAAATGTAGGGGAAAGCAGCCTAAAACACGCGCATAACAAAGGGAAGGAATACTTTCAAGCTTGGTTTGGCCGACCAAGAGAACTCGATCAAAGTAAATAGTCCAAAATTGGGCGCTTCTGCAATCCTACCTCTGGCGGCTCTGCCCTGGCAATTCCAAACACGTTGCTGACCGGTTGTGGGCTGCTAAGAATGTCAAAGCGCGTGACTGGCAGTTATTGAGATATCGTACAACGCTGCATGACTAGTAGACCATGAATTGGATGGGACTCCGCAGCGGCTTGTCGTAGCAAGCTGGGCTGGCCATAGAATGCAGATGCGCAGGGCTCGCGGCTTGGCCTGTAGGCGTTGCATAAGTTGTGTTCGGAAGTGCCGAATCAACATGTGTCCGCCAGGATACATCGTCGAGCCTGTGTCCAGAGTAGCTCTGTTTTGCAACCTCAGTTCGCACTTGAATGGGTGCCGCAGTGCCATTCTGACACGTCTCCATCACTCAGCGTTGTTTGTTGTTTCTTGTTTATACCATAGCATGTGTTCATTGAAACCCAAATTCCAATACATTCCAGCAAATCATGTTTAGTTTGAAGCTTAAGCACCAACTCATGCGAGTTTTCAGTTCTCGGGTAGTTGGCGCGCACACTTAGCTTTCACACTGCAAACCACGGCTAACACAAGC